GCGGTTAATCAATCTCATGCATTAAATAAAAAAAAAAAAAAAAAAAAGAAATTGACAAAAATGGCTTAAACAAAAATGTAAGACGTGTAAGAGTTAAAGAGAGAAACATGACATGAAACTTTCAGCACAAAGGCTAGATTGAAAGAGGCCCTTCGCAAGAACGAGTTCCTCCAAAACTTCGACGAAGCCTACCTCGACGCCTTCGTCATGGCCATGTACCTCAAAGACGTCCCGGCCAACACCCGCTTGATCCAGGAGGGCGACGTAGGTACGGATTTTCGCCATCGATGTAGCAAAATAACGAGTTGTTAAAAAGAAAAAAAAAAAAAAAAAAAACACCCACACACATAGGTTCCCACCTTTACGTGTCGGAGAAGGGCACTTTCGAGATCTACCAGGGCCCGACGTACGAGAGCTGCTTCGGGCCCGGCACCGCCTTCGGCGAGCTAGCTCTTCTGTACAACACCAAAAGACTGCGGTCCGTCGACGGTACGGTATATACATAACGATTGGCCACGCAGCCACTCCAACTCTTGTATTAACCCGTGCCTGCGCATGCATACAGTCAAACACGGAGGTAAGGTCTGGGTCCTGGAGCGCGAGGCCTTCCAAGCCGCTGTGCTCTTGGAGAACCGGTCGTTTGCCAACGACGACGTCGAGTACCTCCGTAAGATCACCATTTTTCGCACCCTGCCGAATCACACTCTGGCCAAGATCAATGAACTCATGCAAGTTGTAAGTACACGGCCTTTTGGGCAAAACCCTTCTCTCAACCCAAACGATGGAATATAAGAGATTTTCGTTGCAACTTTATACGTTTGTTTTTTCAAGTTGGAAAAAAAAAAAAAAAAAAAAAAAAAAAAAAACAAGTTGAAACGATGATAAACGCGCGCGTCATCGGTCGGTCGGATAAAGATCGGCCAGGCGGATGCTTTTTATGTAAATGAAAACACGCATGCACACGAGTAAATAAATGCACTCGCTGTTTATTCCGGTAAGGAATTTTTCCAAGGCGACGAGCTCATAATATCCCAGGGCGAGGTGGCCAACAAGTTTTTCGTCATCAACGGGGGTAGCGTGCAAATCACGAGGAAAAGACTTAAGGAGGACGAGAAGCTGCAGGTTCTCGGGAAGGAGGAGTACTTTGGCGAGCAGGCATTCAGCAACGACAACGAGCACTCGTACGAGGTCAACGCCGTCGCTCTGCCACCCGGGGTCGAGTGTTTCACCCTCGAAGCCAAGTAATTTGGGTTAACGTTTTTTTTTTTTTTTTTTTTTTCAACTATCCAAATTTTAACGGTCAATTTACACTCTCGAACTGATCACTTTTTACTCTAACGATCACTCGTACCTTATGCATAGAACAAATATCAATCGTTTTGTCTCGCTCTTTGATCTCGAACATCTCACAAGTAAAGTTTTCACTTTATCAAATTAAGATTCGAACAGTACCACCACAGTAAGAGTTATTTTATTTAACAATAACGCGATGCATCCATTAAAACACATAGATGCAACCGGAAAAAAAAAAAAAAAATCGATACCCAACTCCCGGCTCGAAAGAAAAATAATTTAGCAAAGAGCTGTAGATGAAAGCTATCAATTTTTGCGAAAAACAAAAAAAAAATGGACCTGCGTTTCTCTGCTTTGTAGAGCCCTATTGAACTACCTCGGCAGCTTGAATCTGATAAAAAAGGACAAATGGATGTTTGAGCTGAAAAACCGGTCCAACTCGCAAATAGCCGAGTGGACGAGCCAGTACGGGGACCTGAAGCTGCTGGACATCGAAGTGAGGGGCACCCTGGGCGTGGGGGCGTTCGGCAGGGTCGAGCTAGTCACGATACCCTCGATACCGGACAAGAGCTTCGCACGCAAGAAAATCCGGAAGAAGAAGGCCGTGGAGATGGAGTGCGAGGAGTACGTGCTCAACGAGAAGAAGATCATGGAGTACTGCAACTCGCCCTTCATTTGCAAGTGAGAATCGACATTGGGGTGGAAAAGGGAAAAAAAAAAAAATAAATAAAAAAAACATATTGGTTTTTTTCTCCCAGGTTGTTCCAGACGTTCAAGGACACCAAGTACGTGTACTTCCTCATGGAGGTGTGCCTGGGTGGCGATCTGTGCACGTACGTGGCGCGCAACGGGCCGCTGGACAACAACACGGCCAAATTCGCGATGGGCTGCTGCGTCGAGGCCATCGCTTATCTGCACAGCCACGGCATTGTTTATCGGGACCTCAAGCCGGATAACATCATGATCGACGGCCAGGGTTACCTCAAACTAGTGATTCTCTTTCTTTACCTGAAAAAAAAAAAAAAAAAAAAAAAAAAAAAAAAAAAAAAATAGACGTTGAATTCTTTATTCGTAATTGAATTTAATTTCACCACTGACTCATAAACAAATATTATTCCTGTAATCTCGATAAAACGTGCAGCAAAGGAAACAAAAAAAAAAACAGGTCAAACACCTTTGCAATTAAACCAACTGCCGGTGCATATGCAGTGGGTATATTGTATGGGTAAAAGAAGAAAAAAAAACAAGGGAAAAATATGCTTAAGCACACGCGAGGCCTTTGGTTATAGATAAGATAAAGCGCGGCTCTGTCGGCCAAATGGGCACCCACGAGCGGGTCGATCGACGATTGAGATCGGCATCGGGATACATCCGTCTCTTTTTCTTTAACGTTCCGAGCAACGCACGAGTTCACCTCGGCCGCACATCGGCGCAGTCTTCGATAGAGAACATATCACTGAGCAACACAATTCTTTGAATCAAAGAACATTTCTTTACCCTCANATTTTTTAAAAAAAGCTCGTTTAATGCATTCATTCTTTTTTTTGAATATGAAAAACATTCGTGTAGGAGGTGAAAGAAATAAATACATGCATGAATGGAACATCGAGTTGTAAAATATTTCAGAGGATGAGGGAAGGATTTAATTTAAAAGCGGTTGTATATGGTTTAGGTAAAAAACAAAAAAAAAATAATAATAAAAAGAAGTTACATCACAAAATCATTTGGCGAGTGAAACAGTTCATGTATATAGTGGTGACAAACATTACATAAATATCTGAAAATCTCCAACGTTTGATGAATTATCAGAGCCGTGGATTACTGGTCGTTGGGCATAGTGATGCACGAATTACTCCTGGGACGACCACCTTTTCAAGACACGGAGATGCTCTCGCTGTACAGCAAAATCACCCGAGGCATCGAGTCGATCGGTATTTACGGAAATTTGAAGAAATACGCAGAGAATCTCATACGCTCGCTCCTGCGTCCCAGTCCTACGGATAGGATTGGCAATTTAAAGGGTGGAATAGCTGACATTCGAACGCACAAGTACCTCTTTTTTTTCTTTAGTTTTCTTGATATATACACTGATGATGAATGATAAAGTGCGTTAACATCAATTTTTTTTTTAATTCTATGTAAGGTGGTTCGGAGCGTTCGATTGGAACGCCTTGCAGAGCCTGAATATGCCATCCCCTATCGTGCCAAAGGTAAATATTTTACTTTGCCAAGTCGCTTTTTCAAGTTTAATACGTTGTCGATTATATTTATATATATATTTAATTGTTTTTTCAGATGAAGAGTTACCTCGACACAAAGTATTTTGACGTTTTTGATCCCGAAAAGGGCCAAGCGGAAAATGAATTTTCCGGCTGGGATAGTGAATTTTGACTCGGATATACGTCCTTCTGTCAGCACAATTTTCTTTTTTCTTTCTTTTTTTTCATCCAAAAAACAAAACGCGTACTCATAAGAGTATTCGAAATTTGCATCGATTTGACAAATTGTCTAGCCAAGAGGAAACTGGCGTGACTATACTTTTAATTTCAAATAAGAAAATTTTATTATTACGTCGAATCTTTCCTACTCATATATCGTTAAAAAAATAATAATAATAAATTACTACAAATATTATTTATTCATTAATTTATATTACCAACATAAAGTTAAATTATAAGAAAATCTATGTTTTTATGTGTTTACTTAAAAGAACATAATTCTCGAACTATTTTGCATGTAACGCGCAACTGGATTTATAAACACCGTTCGTTAAAAGTAAACAAACGTTTTAAAAAACCGCCTTTTTTAGAACTCGAAAATTGCGATTTCATGAAACAACCGTGCACTAACTTACCGAGTGTTGATAATAACACAGTGCACATGGTACAAGCGCGAACTTGCTTACCGGTCGTCAATAAAAATCTAAAAGTAAAATTGCGAGGCAGAGTTTGATTTGTTTGAGAATGACGTCATGCATGTAATATATGTTGCGTAGCATGTCCGTGCAAAAACATTAACATAGATCATTGATCTACTTATCTTTGTAGGCATTACCTGCCTTGCACATATTTGCTTAATAAAACAAAGGAACTACTGGCCAAAGTCCCGCTACTCTAATAAATAAGTAAATCTTACTTATCATCTCCCAGACATCCACCTATGTTTAAAAGTAGTATAGGTAGTTGGTTTATTTATTCATATCAGAAATGACGAAACAGCGGTATCACAGGCTGGTAACGTTATCTCTATATACATAAACGCACCAATTCCTAAAAAACACGACAGCAAGAGAGAAGGAAAGAGAGCAGCATATAAGTAGTAATATGCTGTGTGTCGGACGGAGAAATGAAAAAGAGCAAATGGCGGGTGCGCTTTGCGCTGCCCTCCCGCAGCTGATGCACGCTCCGCTCGCTGACGACGAATCTGTTGTTTGTCATCGAACGTGTCGAGAGCAGCGAACGGGTGGTTTATTTATTCATCTGTACGTGTACAAGTGAACGTGAAAATTTATTTACGGGCCGTGACAAATAATAAAAAGTATGTGACATAAACAAGTAGTTTTATTTATTATGTGCGACTGTTTTCGATCGCAAAGCTGCGATTTCGCCGTATGCATGTTTTGTTCCAGTGTGATTAATCGAAAATATGCAAATAAGAATAATAACAATACAATGAAATAAGACATGCTGGGGATCTCTTTTTTCTTCTCACAATTGCGACTCCACTGACGGATACGCTTAACCTATAAAAAGAAAAAAAACAGAAGGTTCATTCAAGCCCCTTTTGGTTCGGTTCGATTCTCTTAACAATATATACGGAACCACTTCTGTTTGATTCCCTATATATAGGTATACTTTGTTAAAGAGAACCATACCGAACCAAAAGTGGCTTGAACAAATCCTCAGACAAGAGAATTGCAAGTGCAAGTCTGCTGCAGTCTGCAGATATGTGTGCCATTATTACAAAGTGCCTCGAGTAATCCAACGTCGACGACGACGGCAAATCTGCAACGCATACATATACCTCGATGAGAGAATTTCAGTGTTTGGAGTAAAAAAAACGAGCCAGCGTGTGGTTAAAAAAATATCATATGTGCGAGCGGACTGAAGAAAGAGCCTCTGGTAAGTGGTGCAGAGTGCACATTCATGCTTGTGCGTTTGATATTTTTGTGTCTATTGCCTATCCTCGATGGTGGCCTTCTTCTATTTTCCTTGATTATATCAAATACGCGTCGAAGAGTCTCGATAGAACGTAGTAGCAGCAGCTGTGCTCCAAAAAATTTCGGAGTTTGTTATTATTGTCCAGAATGCGCAGTGACCTATACTCTCGTGCACCAGCGCAACAAGGAATGTCAACTGTATACTTAAGTGGTACATCGTACTTACCCTACAGTGTGTTGTCAAAATATGTGAGGGATAGAAATAGGATTAGTTTTTTTTTTTTTAATCATACGAGAGAATACTTACAAGAATGTGTACATCGTAAAACGAGATGAAAATAGAAAAGGAGAGAGTGCACAAGAGAGAGATCGACTTGTACACGCATATGTGCGGTAACAATCAGAGCAGCTGGCTCGCCTCAGCTATTAGGCTACACATGTATATATAGTACTTATCGTTATTGATGTTTATGGTGGGTGTATGCAGTGTGAGTGTTTATAGTTTAGAGAGTGGTCACACGGGATAGATAAGAGAAAAAGTGCCTATCTAGGATATTATCTTAATGGAAGGGGAGAGGAAGTGACTTTTTAGCCAAACTGGCTGCTTATTACCAAGTATTGCCATCTTATGTGCTGGCTGATTGGAATTTGTGGTTCTCGCTGACGCATAAATTGCGCTTATAAAAATATGCTTTTTACTGATCCAGCACTACGCCGCTTTGGTCTGATAGTTTATTATTAACGGCAAACGTCGAGCAATTCGCGCGTATATTTTTATTTTTATTTTTATCTTTTTCTTCCGTAACAGAGTTGTTTTTCCAGTTATTTTTCAAGAGGACCATTTTCTATAGTTATAGATATCATGATTGCACGTTTTATTTGGAGATTGATTTGATGTACGTAATAAATGCTCTCCAAGTATTTTTCAAGTTGTGATAGCATACACTGCCTAGCTTAGCTGTACTCATGCATATAGGTATACGAGTGGTCGATCGTTTTTGATCATGTAATCGATATTAAAATTGACGTTGCTCGGTTTTGCGCTGAACAAGTGATTCACTCGAAAATATCCTCATATTGTGTGCTCCGATATATCTCAGTAGACAAAGTAGAAAAATAATTGTTCGAGACAAACGCAGGTAGCGTGCGAGATATTATTCATCGATGAGTGTTAATTGCTTATTACATGCCCATCTTTATTGGTAATTAATTGTTGCTATTACTTAATTCTAAAAATACATGCTCTCAGAGTCAAATATTATTATTAGGCTGGTTTAAAGGCTAGTAAAAAACATCTATAGACGCGAAATTTAATTTTACCGCGTATTTTCATCCCTAAAGAATTCAAAGATATACTGTACATGTTATGTGAGTGTGAAACGGAGAGAAAGAAGATAATAGTCCAAAAACAAACTTGAAAACACGTAGACGTTCAAACAAACCACTCACAGTGTAAAACTAAACTGTGTTATAATGTAACTATAATAACTTTCTCAACAAAACAAAAACCTTATAGGCTTCGATCATGTAATTTTCATCAGTTAGAGATGTTTTTTCTCTCCCCAGTAACAGTAGTTGAGTCGAAAAAAACGCGATTGTTTTTCGTATAAAATTACTCGTAAAATATTGTACTTTACGTGCTTATCTCACCCATGCCTCTCTTGTCGCTTTAAACGCGCGAGCATCAACAAAAAGCTGACAATGCAAATAAACAATCATCGTCCTTGGCTGCGTTTGCTGCTGATGCGCTTCGTATGTAGAGAGATGTGCCGATTTTTGATGAGCGCAAAAATATGTCTAATAGGAGATTAGTTATATGTTATAAGTCTAAAAAATATCAATTATTTTTTATCTTACATGGCTATCTCGTGAGTACACATGAAACAGAGCGATGATTTGTCGCTGGTCTATTTCTCGTCTGTATCTTGCTCCCGTCGTGAACTCGCTCCTTTAAATAATGCTCCAAGTTGCATAAGCGAGAGAGCGCGCGAGTGTGGATGCCAGATAATAGACAGTTAAATAAGTATAGCTCGACTGCAGTGTATAGGGTTCACTCGACTTTTCGGGTGCAACGTGAAAAAGAGTGGGGGTGTGGTAGTTATGATTTGTCGCGTAATTTGCGTTCTATATACTTCATTTCGGTAATCGTGAAACGCGCCATTTTTACGGCACGGATGTATATTATATACATTTATTGAGTTTAGAATTTTTATACATAATGAACAAATGCCGTGTAATCATTCATTTTTAAAATCAATATTTTTATCCTTTGGTTTATTATTAATTTAATCATAAAAATATTTATGTTCAATCTATATGGCCCTCTTTTTTTTACTTCCTCGGGGAATACCAAAATATTTGCATGAAAAAATGAAATTTTCTATAGCATTTGAGTAAATGAAGTTTACATAGGACTCAATATTGTTTTCTTCAACTTATGAAATAGATCTTATTTTATACANAAAAAAAAATTTCTCCTACCAAAATTTATTGGTGCCTATCACTTCATTGTATTGGTTCCATTCGTACTGTTGTTTTGATTCGGATAAACATGCGTCGTCAAATTAAACTTGCTCGTCAGTGCATGAGCGTAACTAAAACATACGGGCTATTATTACACGAAGCCGTACACACTCTCACGCATACAGATTTAATCAATCGATTTAATTTCGAGCACATCCATCTTATTTCTCTTCTTTTTTTAACATTTGGGCGTTTTTTTTTAACCACTCATATCCCGATCAAATCCACCATCTCGATTATTCTCGGATAAAAGTAGGGCTACAACAATATATTACATACCTCTTACTCTTGTATATACGTGGAATGTATAACACACGTATGAAGATGATGTAAAAGACGAGCACGTGCAGTTCTAATATTCGTTAAACAAGCTTGAAGAAAAATAGCCTCGTTTTTCTGTCGCGCGTTTCTCGTGTCGAGAGCAGCGATGGCTCGAGTTTAAAAGTCACGTGTTTGAAATGCCATGTATATCTCCATCAATTATTATAGTAGTGAGCCACTCTTGGACAAAACTCTCTCCGTTTATTTATTTTTTTTTTTTTTCTTTTGTTTCTAAGTACCGAATCAACTTTTTGGGTATTTTCATAACTTTGTCCATTCTCGGGAATTCCAGATTACAATTTGAGTCATATTTTTTTTACGCTTAAAAGTAACTCGACTTTCCAATAATACGATGTAAACTAATGGTTGTGTTTTCGGATATGCGACTCGAGTGCCCGGAGTCGAACACAACCATTGTGTAACATACCGTGAGCTTTCAAATACTTTTTAATCGCTTTTAGGGAATAAGATAATGCGTTATCGTAAACATTAATCTGATAATGGTAGTGTACGATAGTCAGTTAATGTCATTAACTTGTGACTTGCATAAGTTGATAATAAAAACATTAGTTTGGGTACTCATGTAAATTTTTTTTTTTTTTTTTCATTAAATAAATTTGTGGTTTCTGTTTATAAGTGTATTGAGACATCAACCCTACCTTTTGTAACTACTAGATATACAATCTTTTTTTTTTAACAATAATGTCTTTAACAACAAAACTATGTGACATTATTTTACTTTTCCATCAGCATTACACAAACTAGATTTTTGACAACAAATAACCACCGCCAATCGATTGACAATTCTTTGATTAAAAAAGCTATAAATTTTTTATTACAAAATATACTCAACGAGGCTCCATTGATTCGGGATATTTTTTGTCTTAATCTAATGAAAATAACGTATTAATGCACATTATTTTCTGGGTGGTTATTCGTGTCGTAACTAAACTGTTCGAATGTATATTATAGAAATCACGTTGAAGCAAGCCATTACGTCAATTTTGATTGAAAATCTTTTATAACTTTGGTGCTTTGATTTTTGATATTTTCTCTTAGTTCAGAACCATACTAATAAGCATTTTCTGTTAATTTTAAGCTATTTTGTAGACTAAAAAATAGTTACGATATTTCCTTACAAAAAATATCTGTATTTCAGCGGCCTCATCAGTTGGACACACTTGTATAAATTTGAATATTACAGTGCTAAGTAAAATGAGGAGAAAACAAAAGAATATTAGTATTTTTACGGAGCAGCTGACTTTTTGTAAATGTTATAAACATAACGAGAAAACTCGAGTGCTCGAAAGATAACAAAAAGCAGGCGCAATCGTCGCCTTCGAGACGCCGGATTTTTTTTTTTGCTTTCTGCTTATCTGTTGTGTACTTTTTTCGGGTAACAGAAATATTAAATAATACTTGATAATTATTAGTAGATTTTTTCATTAAAAATGCTCTTATACATATCTTTTTTATTTATTTATCAATGTTAAATACTGCGTACTAAAAAATTTAATTGTTTAATTTTATTAAATAGTTGACTATTCCGTGTATTTGAATATTTGTTTTCAAAAACAATTTACGGCACAAATACCAAAAAATTACGTTTCGAAATATTCCATCAAATCTTATGACTAAAACGCAATAATCAGCAAAGGTAAATTTTCCAACAGAATTTTACAAACTTACAATGAAAGTTGAACACGATAGCACTTCATCAATTTATCGCCAGCGCTAATAGTAATTATCATCTTTACTCTCAGCTCGCGCGTGGCTCATTTATCAGAGATAGTACAAGTGTCTCGTGGGTGTTTATCCGTATAAATGTAGTTAAGGTAGTGTACAATCGAGCTAACATCGGTGCAACCATTCGTTGGCCATTTCTTCGTTACATTTTTGTTCTATTTTTTTTTTCTTTGTTTCACTGACCGATTTGTATTAGACTTTTACGCGTGAAGAAAGCTTTTGCATGTGTCAAAAACAGATCGTTTGAAAAAATACATCGATATATTATGTGTATGCGTATGAATGTGAGCAAGTTTACAAAACAGGTTTTTTTGATAGCATTGAATTAGTATATTTCTAAACGAATCATGTCTTTTATTACTCTAAAATTAACCATGTATTTTAAGGGGGGGGGGGGGTCGGAGAAGGCTCATCCACAGTGGGAGAAAAAAATTATCCCCAGAGTTATAGGTTGTACAGCAGCAAAATAGTAAATGTCATGAGCAATAAATTTTCTATTTTGCAAGATTTTCACTGGCCCCTTCCAAAGCTTGTTATATCTTAGCACCGTAAACAGCGACAAACTTCGTTTTCGCTTAAAAAATAAGCAACAAATTGTCCACAGGATTAAAAATAGGGGTTGTTACTTGGTGCTGGTAGCTTAATAAATGTACGTACCCCCAAAGCTCGCATGCTGCAACATCAACGCTCATTTACCCAACGGAATTTAAAAAAAAAAAAATTATTTTCAGAATGTTGGCAAGCATGCAAGCCGAGCTGATGTACCGTAAGAGTGCGGCGATGAGCTCGCACCAAGAGCTATCACTGACGACAGCGATGCACCACAATCACCACCTGCTGCAGCAGCAGCACCACCACCACCGCCACCGGCACAATTACCAGCATCGACAGGTGAAGCTCGAGCCGGCGAGCCAGCAAGAGTCGGCGACCGAGACAATACACTCGGGCCACTTTATGGTCTCGCATTTCGAGGCCGAGGCCCAGGATGACGAGGACGAGGTGGCCGTGCCGGTGCCCGAGGACGACGACGACGACGACGACGGCGAGGAGAAAAACTCGCCCGCTCGGTTGTCGATCGTCGCCCAACCGGGTGGCTTTCAGGGCGAGCGATTCGGCGTGCCCAACTCGAACGCGGACAAGAGCTCCCAGCAACAGCTCAGCATCGAGACGTCCCTCCGTAAGCTGTTCCAGTGCATGTCGTTGGCCTACAGGTGAGCAGCACCTTGTTCCCTTTCATTCTTTTTTTTTTCTTTTTTTTTTTTTTTTTTTTTTTTTTCCTTGAAAAAAAGATTTCAAACAAACCTTTTGCAAACCGATAAACAACGATTGACTTGCCGTACCACTGTTACATAAAATGATGGATACACGTAACTCACTGACTAAACATTTAGACAATCATAGTTTTTTTTCATCCCACTACTCTTTTGTACCCTTGGATCTACGATTGCAACGATTTTCTTATTACCGATCTCCTACATAGCGTATCAATTTAATATGATTCGAAAATACGGCAATTAACAATACTTCGTTCACGCAAACGTGTAACCTGATGTAACGTTTGATTAAGATAATGCCAAGCCTTCAAAAAATGATTTAAAGGTATTTCGCTAAGTACACCAGATCAGTGCGATTTGGTTACTAAATATCATACCATCAAACATCGAAATTCGTTGACTAATTGATCATTTAAATTGTTTGTTCATGGTTTTATGGAATGAAGAGCAAACTAGTATACCGTGTAAATAATCAAAGAAAGTTACTTTAACATCAGAATGTTAAATTACTGTGGTAAATGGTGATACCAGTTCGAGCGTTAAATTTGAGGATGTTTTTTGCATAATAGATGTAATTTTCAATTATCATTTAGTATCTCTGAACAACCAATATTGTTCCAAGACTAATTATATGCCTCGAACTCGGGGCAAGTTTGATTACATTACCAACTAAATTGTGTCCGAGAATTTATAATGTACCTTCTCTTGTGTAAAATACACATTCGAATTCCGGATAGTTTCAACCACTGTAGAGAGAGAGAGAGAGAGAGAGATTCTATCGTCTAAAGATAAAAATTGTCTTCACGCTACTTCGCTCTGATAATGTTATGTGTGCACAATATAAATAAGGACAAGGCAATAAGTCGCTGCTGACAACTCATCGGAAAATACCTTTGAATAATTAATCAGGAAACTTGTACAAAAGCTCATTTGATGCGCGCAAGTTTATAAATGTTTGCTAATTTTATACCCTTTTCTTCTTTAAATAACATCGAGTTGTTGAACTCGCGAGTCTCTCGAAATTTTAACTCAAACTTCTGAGTTACAAATAATTTTATCGTTACCCGTTTGATATGTCTTTCTGATTGAAACTTCGTTTCGAGTGTATTATTTTGATAGTCGTTTTTGTCATTTGGGAGTTCCTGACCCCTCGAGTCAACGCAATCTCTATGGCTGTTCATACTTGTGTAGCAATAAATTGTCTGACCCCTTTATTCAACAAATTATCGTCTCGTACACGTGCGCTATTCCGATTTCTCATCCGCGTGACATCTTTTTACCTTTTTTTTTTTCATGTACTTTGATAGATTTTGTATAAAAATATTTATTTTCACTCTTAACTTACACAAGTATTATCAGCCCGATTACGAAACAAAACAGCCAAATGATGCGTTAGCAGACGTGATACATACAGTTTTGGCTTGTTTTTGCAAGAACCCAATCATATATAGCCGGTGTTGATTTAGACGCCAATCAATTGAATTGTGAGGCCTTTTAGATTCAAAGTTAACGTTCGTCACAATTAAAAGTAATTTTACAAAGGCTTCCTATCCCTTCGGCGATGGAGCCATGGCGCCTACAGAGTATACGGCGATGAAATGCGTGTGGTATTTTTTCCGTGCGAAATTAGTTTTCTGTAGTCTACATTTGGTTTATCTATTGTCGTTTTGTTGATCAATAAAATAAGGTATTCCTTGGTGAGCAAATTTTCTCGGTAATAAAGTTATGGTAAGACTGTTTTGTACTGTTCATTATTTTTGGATCTAAAGTTATTTTTTACGTATTCTAAGTAATAGTACGATTATTCTGTTTAATTAAAAAAAAAAAAATTTTTACCCATTTAAATACTCCGTTTTTGTAAAAATATTGCTGAATTCGATATTTTATAAATTATAAGGTTGTTGCTATCAATTAAAGTGTAACAAGGAATAATATAATTATATTTGATAGTGTGAAAGACTTTCTTCGTAACTCGATTAAGCAAAATTTTTACCTGTTGGAAATTTCTTACGCAAATAGCCCTTATTTCATTTAAATGGACATAATCTCAATATATTGTTTCGAAATTTCGATGCGAAGCTTAACATTTTCTTGAGACGAAATCAGAGTATGAATACCTGGTAGGTGTGTAAAATTTGAATATGCCAGCCCAACCGTAAGCGGCAAAATGCAGTTGTTGTGATATCTTATCTGCTAAAATTGAAAGTAACGAGTGAATGCCCTTTCACTACTGTATTATGTGCAGTGCAGTACGTACACCTGGCCACTCTTTCCTGGTCTCGGTGAGAGGCTATCGAACTGCCCCACCGAGGAATCGGTGTAAAGAAAATTTAATTACATACTTACATCCATCACTCAACATAGTTACATTGTTTTTGTAACCACATAATTATATTCCTACATCCTTGAAAAAACACTTGCGTACTTTTCAATGTGACAACATTAATCTCGAAAACTTGAACTCACTTACGTAAGACTACATGCCAAACAAATACTCTTTTTTTTCAACGAAACGCGCTATATAGAACATATATGTGTGCATACTATGTGGTATCAAAACACCCCCAAGTATGCATATGTAAATACGGCGGGCATTCTGCTCTGAAAAGCAGTCGCTGTTGATTCCAAGGCTGCGAGACACACCTTCTTTTTTTTTTTATCTCTCCTTACCTCTCGCGACAATGAAGAATCCGTCGACTCTTTTTCAATCGTGTGCCAAACGAAAAAAGACCTGGCCACGAGCCACTGCATTCTTAAGAAAAAAAAAAAAAAAAAAAAATTTCTCCTACCAAAATTTATTGGTGCCTATCACTTCATTGTATTGGTTCCATTCGTACTGTTGTTTTGATTCGGATAAACATGCGTCGTCAAATTAAACTTGCTCGTCAGTGCATGAGCGTAACTAAAACATACGGGCTATTATTACACGAAGCCGTACACACTCTCACGCATACAGATTTAATCAATCGATTTAATTTCGAGCACATCCATCTTATTTCTCTTCTTTTTTTAACATTTGGGCGTTTTTTTTTAACCACTCATATCCCGATCAAATCCACCATCTCGATTATTCTCGGATAAAAGTAGGGCTACAACAATATATTACATACCTCTTACTCTTGTATATACGTGGAATGTATAACACACGTATGAAGATGATGTAAAAGACGAGCACGTGCAGTTCTAATATTCGTTAAACAAGCTTGAAGAAAAATAGCCTCGTTTTTCTGTCGCGCGTTTCTCGTGTCGAGAGCAGCGATGGCTCGAGTTTAAAAGTCACGTGTTTGAAATGCCATGTATATCTCCATCAATTATTATAGTAGTGAGCCACTCTTGGACAAAACTCTCTCCGTTTATTTATTTTTTTTTTTTTTCTTTTGTTTCTAAGTATTTGTGTGAACGGGTGGATAGATTGGGCTCTGATGAAAACATTTTTTACAGGATAGCGTTGCTTTGTGGACGAATTTTTTACGCTTAAAAGTAACTCGACTTTCCAATAATACGATGTAAACTAATGGTTGTGTTTTCGGATATGCGACTCGAGTGCCCGGAGTCGAACACAACCATTGTGTAACATACCGTGAGCTTTCAAATACTTNTTTTTTTTTTTTTTTTTTTTTTTTTGAGCCATACTTAGAGTTGTTTTGTTAAGAAATTTTAAATATTAGCTAGGAAATGTCAAAAACTCAACTTGAAATGAAAAGGGTTTTAATTCCGTTCATCTGATTAGAGAATATGTGGTACCTGTAACGGGTGAAAGTGAACACAATTATTTACAGTTATGATGTCTGTTTACATGTGGGGTTGCAACGAAAAAAAAAATGCAAGACACCGTCGCGCACATCTGAAGGTGTGTGAAACCACTTTGCGATCTAACGTTCAAATCTTAAATATACCAAGCAGTGAAAAAACAACTTTGTGCAGCACATTGATTTTTTTCATCACTTATTTATAGATTTACCAGAAAAAAACATATCAGGGTCAGCTAGTCTACTTTATCGACCACTAAGAATATTCTATCAACTATTGGGTGGGATTTTCTGAATTCTTTTTTTGATGGTATAATCGCGATTGGTATTTAAATCAATGGAAGCCATAAAAGTTTGCAGTACAAATGATTAGGTTGGGCTTGCTTTTAAAGTTTTATTAAAATGTTTCAAAAATTGTGAGCGCACGATGGTGGAAGCAAAAGAGCAAGAACGCCACCAACGCGCAAAGCTCCCGATAGATAAGAACCCGTGTGCTCATATATGTATATTTGACAAACTGGAGCTACTTGGCGTGTGTGTCATGACAGAATAGTCTTTATCTGATAATAAAATACGCTTGATTATGTGTATACGCACTTGCATGGCCCGTGAAATCGGAAAGCTTGATTTATTCATTCATTTTACGTGGCGGAAAATGAATATCACGTACACGATAAGTTTATCACGGCAGGTGCTCAATGTAGGATACTTTGTTTTAACGAGTAAAAGTCGATTAAGAGATTTGAGAGCAATTTGAGATTATTTTTGTTCAAATTTAAAAATTTGTGGATTTATAAAATTGGCACTATTTTCCCATTTTTATTTATCAACAAAATTATAATTATATCATGCAGCACTGTTTTATTTTTGCACGATTTCCTTCTATTCAGAGAAAAGTACCTACCAGTGTTCTTTACTGTGTCAATTGTATCTTATCGACAATATTTTTGGTGCCAATAAAAAATATCCTTCTTAGCAAACTTTGAAAATTAGAAAACAATATTTTGAATGTCGCATAGTTGACCGGTTAAAAAAAAATTAATTAATAATTAAAATATATTTGTGTTGGGATACAATTACCGTACTTAAAATAAAAAAAAAATATAAATAATCTTAGACAAAAATTACCTTTATGGTAAAAATTGCCTTAAATTTTAAAAAATTCATTGCATGTGAAAATCGAAGTAACTAGCGTACCCCTCTCCCCAACTTTACTGTGATTTTACAATAAAAATCATCCCGTAATTTAATTTTTGGTTCCTTGTAATAGTGAAAAACAATGACAATGTTTCTACATAGTAAAAAAAAAAAAAAAAAAAAAAATCACTGACCGCATTAGCATAACTGCTTTAGCGCGCACAAGACATCACGCACAAGTGCTCACGTTAAAATGAGTTTTTTTTTCGCGATCGCACAATATATAATACTCTAACGTAAGTATAACATAACCCATTTAGGTGATTTTCAAAATTTAAAATACATTTGTTTTTTTAATGACATGAATCACAATTTCGTAACTATGGACAGCTACAAGTATCAGTACAATACAATACATACATTTTTTAAATTATTCATTAGACGAAAATTGTACAGTGTTCTTGACTTAAATTTGTTTGAATTCATAGGCAGTTTATCGTAACATTCAATATCGCCAGTTATATAAACTTTTTCTACTAAAAGAACATTAACTTTTTCGTTATTGGCTCATAAAATCCAAAAGATCATGTAAAGTTTCCAAGGCCGTTCAGATAGTTCATACATTATTAGTATAAACGAGGAGGCAAAGCCATCAAATCTATGCTACACTGCACTCTGACCTAACTAGTATCTGAAGAGGTAAGCCTACGCTCGTAGGTATACGTATGTAACGATATCATCCGAGAGCATCACCGTAATGTTTTCCCAAAACTTTTTTTTTCCCCCAGTCTTAAGTAAAAATGCTATTGTGAGGCGAAACATCGTTATTTTATGTGGAGCCAAGATATGATGATTCTAATGTGGTGATGAAAAAAGTTTTCTTTTCTTGCGAGGCAAAGATTTTTTTTTGAAGCAACAAAATTGTACAAGTCGCACCTTTTTCAAAATAAAAATTTCTTATGGATCAATGGTATATTGCTGCAACTGTCGATTACAAATACACAGCTGCGCAAAGAATGTGCTCAAGACACCCATCTTTTTATCTATGTCGACGGCAAGTCTAATCTTATCATTGCGTGGTGTTTCAGTAGAAAAAAAGACACGGTAAAAATGCTCACGAGAACACGCCTCCTTTACGTCATCGAAGGAAAATACGTTCTAATGCTCAATGCTCTCAAGCTTTGGGAGGAAATATTCTCTAAATTGAACGTGTAGCCGGAATTTTGTTATCTTGTTTTGAAAGATTTTTTTTATTTAGATACTTCATTAATAGCTTATTTTTCTGGAAAAATTAAGAAAACAATTCATTTAATATAGTATTTTTTTAACTTTTTTTTTAAATTGAATTACTCCTGTTACCACAAAACCAAGAATAATTTACCAAATAATGTAAGTTTAATGTTTCTTAAGTATACTTAAGATTTCGTTCATCATCAGCAGTAGATTTAACAATGAGATAAAAATATTTGTTTCACGACCTCAAGAATTTAGTCAACAATCTTTAAAATAGATTAAACCATTCCAATTCTATGAATCAAAGAAAATAACTTTACTCTTATTCAGTTGAACATTTTATTTTTAATTTAAAAAATTTTGAGTTTTTAAGAAAATACATATTAATAAATGTCATTATTTAATTATTTAAAACACGTTTCTTCCAACTAGTTTAACATTTTGTTGATTGAAAAAAAAAACTGCTCAACAGAATGAGGGTGAGAAAAATTATTTTATTTTAAGAATTAGATGAGTCAGGATGATTGTAAAAAAACAATCGTCATAACTAATAAAAAAAAAAAGTACATGAAACTACTTACAACTAAATTTTAAAAAACTAAAAATTAATGCCAAAAAAAATTCGAAAAAACCTAAAAACCACTACGCGTGAAATGACGAATAAACACGACGAAGACAACAAAAGCCGATCAGCTCGCACATGGCAGAGCAGAGGTCTAATGTCAGGGAGAACCAAGCGATAAAGCAAAAGGAAAGCGGAAATCTTCCAGCCCCGGAAAACTCGCTTCTCGCGAAGATTCGCACGCTCGTTTATCTCTCTGTCTCGTGACGCTGCGGCAAATTCCAGGAGGAGGGAGATGTTGTGCCTCGACACGTCCCGTTACTCTTGTTCGTTTCCTGTTTTGCTTATCGTTGATACCCCCCCCCCCCTTCGCCTTCTCATCTCACCTCTAGTGCAATAATATTTTTTTTTTTCTTACGTTGGGCTTTTTCAACTAGAAGTATTACTGCCTCCGAGACTATTATAGTTTTATGTGCCGTTTGCTCAAATTATTTTTCCTGATTCGGGAAGTTTTTTTCGCGTAGAGCAATAATCGTATAAACACTGGTATGGTTTTATCGTCGATTCAGATAAAAATGACGGAACAACTAGATTGGATTTGGAGATAATGATTGGTAAAACCTATTCAAATACGCGGAGGTTTCGATGGAAAATATTTATTTTCTTTTGACCATAAAGTAGGGGAGATGAGGGATAATTTTAACATTTTACTTAAAGCATAAAAAAAAAAAAAAATTTCTACATTCGTAGTTAAAAATCGTAATCTTTGGTCATAGGAGTATCAGAAGTGACAAAATTTGTACGAAGCATATTATATTTTGAAAAATTCAATGTCAAAAACAACGTACCATCTGCTTTTGCCTTACAAAATACGATAAAATCGAACATAAAATGAAACTACCCCAGTCAAAGGGATGCTTGTAGGGTTATCTATCTCTAGTGCAGGGACTATAACACTAGTAACTTGCTGACCGCATTTATAGATGAGACAACTGTCGAACAATTTTTCATCCATAAACCCAAAAGTGCAAAATTTTTCGAATGGACAATATTTTTTTAACCGTTGAAGGGAAGATTTTTTTTTCAATAGCAGTATTAGCTGGTACTCGAATATTAATTTAAAAAAAAAAATACTTTTAAGTAATCCTTGAGAATTGAATATCCGTCGTCCAGACCCCCCCCCCCTCTCTTCTTGTGTGACGAAAAAGATGTGGTATCGAATTTATGGTTGATTACGAAATACGTGTGGGTAAAAAAAAACTCAAAATCTTGAACCAGCGGAAAAAAGAATTTTTGGCATCCCGTTACAACTGGTCGAAGCTATGTAAACACTTAATCAGTTGAAATGTGTACAAAACACGTTAGGTAAGACTTAAGCTAATGAAAAACAAATTATATCACTATTAATGAATACATTCCGTAACTGGTGTCTCAGTAAAGAAAGCAGATATTACAATCTATTGGTCGTTTATTGGTACTTAAAACTTGGTTCACAATTCATTATTTATCGATTAGGTCATTAGATTTAACATTGCACAACAGTGATTGCAGTAAAAAAAAATCGCCCTCGAAACAAATATTTTCTTCGTTAGGCTGCTCTGACGCGTTATCGCTTTGTAAATAGCCGTATTCTGTTGAATTTATTAATATTAGTATATACTTTGTTCATTTTACTAAGGCACATTACATGAATTTTTAACAAGGACTGCACAACAGAGAAAAAAAATTAATTAGTTTTTTTTTTTATAAAATTATGTACCTACTTTGTTTCACTATACGTGAAATACGTGCAAATGTTAAAAGTGCACATGTGTTCTTGTTAAAACTGATGAATATCTTCATGAAAAAAAAAAAATAAATAAAAAATAGTTGAACAAGGCACGATTCGGATTTGTTTCAGACAGAAGCTGACATCGCCCAAGTGGAATCGCTTCAAAGGCATCCGGCTCCGATGGAAGGAAAAGATCCGATTGAACAATGTTATCTGGCGCTGCTGGCACATGCAGTGTAAGCACAGTTTTTAGACGATACACTTTAAAGAAGAAAAATATTTTCAAATATACACGGGTAGCTATTTACTGCGTGTACTTGTATGGTCTTTATTTGCACTCGCAACGTGGTTACTGGCTGGAATCTAAGATCTTTTTTTTTTTTTCCTCCATTTGATTAATTTCTTTCGATTTGTGTTGCACACGCATACAACGGACATATGAATTGACAATGAACTTTACGCTACGTGGCGCTAGTTTACGGTGTAAAAAAATGAAGATATAACAGAGAGAGGGAGAAAAGAAAAAAATGAGAAGCTCAAACTGACGCAACTTTAAATTGAGGAGCAACGATCGCTCAATGGTTAACAGGTTTTTTTTAATCACAGCTGCGCCTGTGCTATCAACCGTCTTCGAGAAACGCGGTATTTTTTTTCCCCCCAATTAGCGTTCATTAGATTTTCATCGTTTTTTCATGCGATTTTAATTTTCATCAATTTCAAGTAATTGTGCACATCGCGGCTCTCGTAATTTATGGCTCGATAAGTATCGTTCCGCAGGAGTTGCTTATAAGCTCACAATTGCACTGGAATTTTGTCAATTTGAGTGTTTAAAATTTTTTTTTTTTTTTTTTTTTTTTTTTTTCTGTACCTTCCACTATATTTATTATTTTATTGAAAATACAATTTTTTTTACATTTCACATCGATGAATATAGAAAGAATGCGATAAAAAGTTTGTAGCAGCAAATACAGTTTGTGACGGTTCGAATGACCGTAAAATTGATGAAAAATATATCGTACAATTGTACTTGGAAAAAAACAAAAGACAATAAAATTTGCGTAAAAATCCTACAGATTTCCTTATCTCTATATGACATGTATGTACTCTTGCTCTCGCGCTTGTAATGCCTGCACATGCCATTATTTGCGCTAGAGCTCGCCTCACACGATCGTCATCTTGTCGTATTTTTCGAATCAAAAATGAAATTGACCGTAGAGAGAGAAAGAGGGGCTAATCAAACGTATAGGTGGCGAAGCCATAGCCTCGAAAACCAATACGGAATAGTAATTATTGAATTTTCCAACTCTCTCTCTCTCTCTCTCTCTCTCTTTGATAAAACACAAATCGAGCGTGAAGAATTCGATTGAAAAAAAAAAAATGGAATAAAATAAAATAAGGAAAAAAAAAAAGCAAATAGAGGGAAGATTGTCGCGCCTTCACGTGAGAGTCTCGTGGACAAGCCTCTTTCCCCCCCCCACGATAATACCCGAGTAGAGCAGCAAAAACAATTCGTCTGTCTGCACTTTGGCGCTCGCGATATCGGCCTTTCTCTCTCTCTCTTTGCATCTGTGCCATACGTATGTGTACAAGCAAACACACAATACGTCTCCTCCCCCGCGTGGTGGCAATTTGTAATCATCACCGGCCCATAAAACTGTAGCCAATGCACAATCATCGAATACTTACTTGTTAGTCCGGTGGCGCGTGTATATCTCCTCGTCTGCGACTTTAAACTCTTACTTATATTAATTCCCTCTCCCCAAGCGCTCCGGCGCCTCCGTTTTTTCCTCTTCGTACCCGAATCGTTTTTACGTTGCGTTTTTTCTTCTTCTGTTTTTCCTTTGGGTGATTGTCAACTAGATATTTATTTTGACGCACTTCCGTCTCTCTTAATGCTCGTGTGTCGATTTTTCAGCCCCCCCCCCCCATTTTGGGTATAAATTCGGGATTAGGCTTTAATTTTTATATCAACTTCAATCAAGTTTTTGTCAAATTTTTTCTCCAAAGAGGATAAACGAGTCAAAGGTCACACGAGATCCTTTTCACATCGCATAAACTTCTATTAATTTAATTTAAATGTTTGTCTTTAAATCCCCGCCAAACAAATCATGTGATCTTTCATGACCAATCATATCGATGATAAAAATGCCAAAGTCACGCGCGATGATGAATTTTAAATATGTAAACATAAAAATACCGATGATAATAGAAATTATCGCAATTTTATCGATTCTTTAACGTTACGACCAGACGTTATCTTTGACGATTACCGTTTTTACCAAGAAAACGTGATGATACCTTTTTCGTTTGTGCTATAGCTTACTTGAAATAATAATAAAAAAAATCATTTGTAGCTCTTTATACGATCGCACGTATCGTCAACACATCATCTCTGATAACGGCTTGATTCAACAAAAAATGGGCTCGTCTCTTACAGACTGAGCTTCACTCGTGGGAAAGGTGTACCGACTCGAAAGTTGTAGAAAAGACGACTCTTCCTTTTCTTTAATTAAAAATTTTTTTTTCACCCTGCTCTCTTTCACGCAGAAATTCGACTTGTATATAGACAACATACAATACAAATGATCATACTTAGACTAGTTCAATTACTTCAACAAGTTTTTAAATACTTTACTTCAAACACGTCACAATAACAACAACAACAAAAATCACTTATTCAAGAAAAAACATGTTTTTTTAGTGTATATTAATCCATTGAATAATTGTGCTGAAAATGATGAAACGTACAACAAATTGGAGAATCCAAAAAAGTGTTGGGGGACTTGAGTTCGAATAACTCAGTCGTTCTATAGCTTTCGTTATAAACGTAACTATTAATCTATTAATTTAAAAGTTACATCGTACCGAGCAAGGAGTTAAAAAAAATATGATGACAATTATAATAAACCGTTCGGTAGTGAGATTATTATAATACTGGGAGAATTTTTGGTTTCTCCAAACGACTCTTTGATAAAAAAAACTATTTTTTTTTTTTTTTTCAAATTTTTGTCTCTTCCTTCCAGTTATACTGAAACAAAACACGTTGGTATGTCAATTTGCATCCCCACTCGATGTCGACACTCATAATAAACCTGAGGTAAGAGAAAACACTCTTTGCCCGTATAGATTTATGGTTTCTTTTTTTTTTTTTCTTCCGTGCATGATTTGATCGGTTTATAAAATTATGCGAGAACTATAACACAAGACGCTCATGAAGGTTCAATTATTTTTTGAATAATTGTGTGATCGATAGAAAAACTGGTTTGTCCATGGAGTCTTGGTAATTTTTAATATATTTTTCACTTTGTCAATCAGGCGGTCGTATTGGAAGGCAAATACTGGAAACGAAAACTGAAAGCTGTTACTGCCGAGTACAAGAAATGGCGCATGTTTTATCGGAACAAAATTCTTGGATGGACGAGCAAAGATGGCAGCGACATGGTACGTATACAAGCAAAACGTTTTTAGTGTCTTATGACACAAGTAACTGAGTGTGGGACTCGTGTCCAACGACACTTTGCATTGCCAATTGTGAGATTTGATGTGTTTATGAATTGAAATTTCAATGGCTCGATAATATGCTGTGCGTCTTCATTTTTACGTTACTATATCCTTCTTTGTTTGTTGGTATAATAACTGACTTTTTATGGTGTCTTAAATTGAAGGATAACACTTTTATACAAAGAAACGTAAAATTCGTTTTTGCTTTTTTAAAGAGGATCAAAAATATGATTTTCTCTATGAAAAGTATGAAAGTTATAACCAGTAATAAATAGTCAAAGAAGGCTTTGTGCTGAATTATTGGCAGCAGTAGTGACATTACCTCTATTGTGCTATTAAAAAAAAAATTTCCAAACCAACAATATTAAACTCGTATCAGAAAAATCTCATCAAGTATTGATATTTAGATTTTGACACAGTTCCAAATTCAAGTAGTAAAAGCTAAATTTGGTCAGACGCAGTACCCACGCTTACATGAATTGCTTTCAATTTACTTTAAGTGGGATAAAAACTTTAATTTTGCGCAATGATATGAAGGTATTGAAAAAAAAAAAAAAAAAATTGATGCTCCATAGCTCGAGTCGATGGACACGTTGGAATGGGGCGACAGCATGGGCAACTTCGACATGTACGGCGCCGGATGTCAGAGCTCCTGCAGCGGGGCCGGCAGCACGACCAGCGCCGACGGCATCCACAGCATGATGGTCGACGAAGATTACCGGGAACTCATGACCGATACCCTCTTCTCGACCATCAGCCTTCACCAGCCGCTCTACTTTCCCGATTCGCGTGAAATAGGTCAGCCATTCTTTACCAAATATTCGTGGCAAAGGTACAACGTATGCCAACGAACGTTAATGCAATCGTGATTACAGCTCGGGGAGCCAGCCTGGCCGACTTCATTCAACCGAGTTTGGGACCACTGCAGCCAAACTTGGACGACTTTATCGACACTTTGGAGCCTCTCCAAGGTAATTACCAGGCAGGAAAAACAAAAAAATCGCGAAAACCGCATTCTTGCTCCATATCCCTTTGCTTTCAAACTGCGAAGTTTTTTTAATCGATAATGAACGCGAATAAATTTGACAACTGATGAGACAGCATGCATTACCCGATGACTTTGCGTATGGCCAATCAAACATCTTCCTGAACAACAATCGCATCGAGACACTCCTACGAAACAATAGTCAAACTTGTCTTTGGCACTAAGTAAGTCTTGTTGAATTATCAGAGTTCTTGAGCTCGCGACTGCCATCGGTTCCCGAGGAGGATGTCTTCCAAAGCTCAGGGTTGAACAGCAACTACGCAGAACTCGACCTGATGGCCCCTATGAACCAGGTGAGCGGTATGCCCGACCCGAGTGCTGTCATGAGCGCAGCCACGTCCGCTAACAGTGCGACTGCGGTATCCACGCCCGTGGCGACTGGGCCAAACTCGATGCAGACCGAAGAGTCGAGTGTTGGCTTGCAGAGCCTCCAGTACACCGCTAAAATCTTTACCCAGCCGCAGCAGCAGCAACAGCCGGAATCTGTGTTCAGAAATAACGCGTGAGTTGATAACAATTGTAATTAGGTCGAGGGCTGATTTTGAATCAATCATTTAACCGTGGATTTAATATTAATTGTATTTTTTTCGTAGCGATTTTAGTGCTCTCCAGCAGAGTTACGAGCAACAACTGCATCAGCAATTACAACAGCAACAGTTGCATCAGCAACAGCTGCAGTTACAGCAGCAACAAGTGCCTCAGCAAATAAGGACCAGGCAGCCGCGGCCGAGTAGAGCCTCAATACGAAACTCTCGGTTAACTCAACAACAGCAGCAGCAGCAGCAGCAGCAGCAGCAGCAACAACAACAACAACAACAACAACAACAACAACAACAACAACAACAACAACAACAGGTCTTTCAAGCAGCCGCGCAGCAACACCTAACGGCGTACAGAAATCAACAGCAGCAGCCAGACTATGCGATGGAGATACAGACTTCGAATATCTCGACATTACCAACACACCCGACGCCTATACACATGACTCTTGCCGAGCCAACGAATCAGCAAGTGCAGGTATTCCTTACCCAGCAGCAGCAGCAGCAGCAGACTTTCACGGTGACGACGGAAGCGCAGAAACAGCAATCCCAGCAGATTCAGAAGCAGCTGACGTCCAACCTAGCGATCAAGCCGTACAACAAACCAACCAGTTCTGGCTACAAGTTTCCACCCCCACCGCAAGCTTTCGATCCTCAACAGTGCAAGTTTACCAACAACAATCTCAAGGTAAAACACGATGCATCCAACGGGGCGCAAAATTATGGTTCAACAAAGAATTTCGATGAAGAACTGGCATTGAAATTTAAAAATGATACATTTTGTTTTTTAACATGATCGGTTTTGCAGTGCAGTATAATATCGATAAGTACGAAGATATTAATACCGAGGGAATCCTAAATTTATGCATCATTCAAAGTAGTAGCCGTGGAAATTAGTAATTCTCAATGGAGCATAACTCACGACTAGCGTTAGGAATTAATGTTCACCTTAATGAATTCAAATCGGATTATTTAATCAGAAATAATTTTAAACGGTGTAACGACAGCTCGAGCACTCTCATTGGCATAAAGTTTCTAAAGCTCGAGTTTTCCGCACCCTACGGCAACGAGCAAGAAATACACTTGTATAGCGCTCCAGTCTCGCGAGATCGAGATTGTATAGATTAAAAAACCCATTGATCACTCGCTCAAAGCGAATGTACATTTATTACACATGAGTATTTTCCAACCTGCAGGTTTTTATATGCACTTTTTATTAATCTCGTAGACACTGCCAAGTCAGCCGGTGGGCGCAGTGGCGGCCCAACAGCCCGCCCACTCGCACGTGCTCCTGCAGTACAAACCCCAAGGTATCGATCTCACGGCGCCGGCTCAGCATCCAACTAAGCTGCTGCCCCGGCCTACCGCGGTTAACGTCGCCTCACCGATCGAGGTTAAAGAAGAAGTCTTTGCTGTGCCAAAAGTAACCTCCTTTTCTCTAACTGATTGCAATTCCAATGTTCCTTGAGTGAAATTTTTTTTAATGAGGATTACTCATTGTTTTCAGTATCAAATGAAATCGAAGAGCAGATCTCGAAGTAGCTGCTCATCGACGTCTTCCAAGATGCACCCTCCTCCACTTGTGTCAGCTGTCAGTGATCCCAACTTGAATCTTAATAACAACGTTCTTCTTGCACATCTTCTCACGAACAGTAGGATTCATGTTTTTCTGAGCATTAGACAAGTGACAATGATGATTTTTATTTTCTTAAATTTTCCTTTTTGTTTAATAATGCAGACACATCGAATCTGTACACGGTTAGTACGGGTCCGGATAAAGTCACAGCTCAGCCGGTGATCGGCGTCAAGCACATATTGCCTATGCTTTCGTCGACGCTTACATCCGGCGCACAAGTATCCAACGCCACTCATAACATAAATTCATCCATCAGCGCTCAAACCATGCACACCACCGCCAATGTACAAAGTCCTGCAACTCATCAGGTAAGTACATCATACAAGACACTATTAGTACGAAATCATATTCAATTGATATCGAAGGACTTGAATAAATAAATTCGTGGTACATTGTAGTCATTACAACAGTCGAGTTCAAGTCAATCGTTACTTGCTCAGGCAGCAGCTGCAGTACACCAACAGTCGCCCAATAGCGATCCTAACTCACCAAAGGATTCAACAGCACACAGTCCGCAGGCCCTGAGTCTCAGTCCTCTGCACAGTCCAATGAGCTTGGGTAGTCCACTATCTCCTGGCCGAGGTTACGTGAAGGGAGATCCAGAACGGGGTCAGTACAAAGAACAGCGCCGAGTCGGTCACATTCATGCTGAGCAGAAGCGCCGCTACAACATTAAAAATGGCTTTGACATGCTGAATAGCCTAATACCACAGCTCAGTCAGAATCCAAATACGAAAATGAGTAAAGCTGCGATGCTGCAGAAGGGCGCTGATTACATCAAGCAGCTTCGATCAGACAGACGCGAGATCTGCGAGGAAAGCGAACAGCTCAGGTCACAGATCGAGATGTTGAGTTTGTCGATCAAGTGAGTTTGAAATTTTTTTCGATTCCCTGGTACTTTTTTTTAACCATCATATTTCAAAGTATTAGATGTATCTGATTTTATGTGGTATTAGTAATTGCCAAGCCTTGCTACCCGCTACTGGGGTTCCTGTTTCACGACAGAGAACAAACAAAATGAAAGAGATGTTTGATGAATACGTCAAGGCAAGGACGAGAGATAATTGGAAGTTCTGGATTGTAAGTTTTCTAAGATTGAACTTTTTTTTTTTTTTTCCAACGAGACATACAATATGAATTGACCATGAAATTCTCAACACTATAATACAGTTTAGTACGTTAATGGAGCCGTTGATGGAATCTTTCAACAATGCTGTATCCACAGCAAGCAAAGAAGAGTTATACAGAACAACAATAGTGTGGGTGGAGCAGCATTGTTCTCTAGTAGACCTTAGACCAGGTGCAGTGTCCATAAAATAAAATTTCGCGCATAAAATACAATACAATACACTTGAGACCCTTGTAAGTGAAATAAACTGCTTAAATATGTTTCAGCTGTCCTCAACTCATTGAAAAAATTGTGCACTGAAACGGACATTCTCAACGATCCTTCTCGTTTGCCAGAGGAAGCACTTGCAGCAGTGAACGTACCGAAACGGCGAAACTCTTTGCAGTGATCAATTTCATGTCTTGTGTAAATTAATAATCTTTAAGTGCGAGTTTGTGAAATGAAGCATGAATTCGATCTCCAAGTTCGATAAGAAACTTGTATCTTAAAAAGACAGTTACCGTATATTATCACGTTAAAATAAAAAATGCAGGAAAAAATAACATACATTTGTACAGAAAGTATAAGTAGTCTTATCCTGGGGTACGTAAATACGTTTGAAAGCTCTTATTTCTGCAAGATTATTCAACTTCAGCGGATGCAAAATAATATGAAGTGCAATTTTGCTGAGATTGAAGATAAAATTTTTTAAGATATTGAATAAAAATTGAACGTCTCGTGAAGTCGAAATTTTATTTTGTTTTTAACGGAACGAATAACAAAGTATATTTTTTAAAATTTAGATTCAAATAAGGTTTCGTTTTTGTTTTTTAATTTATATTTTCAAGATTCTTTTGCAAAAAAATTTGTCACAATTATACCAAGTGTCACTTGAATGCCTCCAAAGTTGAGTAATTTTCAAAATTCATTCATGGAGGACTTGAAATACAATAGGAAAAAATAAAATTATTTTCACAATATTTCTAAATAATTATTTTTAGAAGTTGTTAAAATATAGTTGTTATATTTTGTATTGTAGAGATTATTTACCCTTTTTTATAATAATATATTATAAAACTATTGGTAATTGTTTTTTCGTTCTGACTATTCAAACAAGAGAATATTTACAGACATGCCTGCTTTGTGAGGGGTCAAACATTTTTACAAGAGAAAAACAGTGAACCCGTGATGCTTGTTGAACGTATTATTATCGCAAATCATATGTATGTACGTTAAATATAAATGAATGCGAGATTTTTATTATACTTCATGTGATAATGTAAAAAAAAAAAAAAAAAAATATTACGGTCCAATTTTAGATAGAGTATTAACTGCAAAGAATTTTTGTATATCTCCGAATGTGTCATTGTTAATAATTATAAAAAAGAACTGTATTAAATCAAAGTCTATTGGTTTTTATGAATTTCTATGATACAAAATAAATTGATAATCTAAAGATCATGTTTTTTTAATAACAAGTTTAAATTATTTTAATTTTGTAGTGGTAGTCAATAATACAAGTCAAACTATTGACTAGTACTATTGATTACCACTACAAAATTACATATATACAAGTGATCACAACAACATTATTTAAATTATTTTATTATACACAAGGATTGAGTAAATAGGTACAATAGTAAAGCACAAATCATTGTTCTTGCATTTAAATTTTATTTCAAAACTAAAATTACCCATTATATTATAAAATATATTTGCGTTATGATAAATGGGGGTTACTGAGCATATCTTACAAATAATTAATAATTTTCTTATCTAATAAATTTAATTTAAAGACTTTTGTAATTTTTAACATCTTAATTCCTATACTTTTCAAGTACATAAATAAATTAAAAAAAAAAAACTCAAATTTTTAACTCAAATATAAATATTTGATAAAAACAAAGGAACCTATGAGCTATTCACGTCTTTGTAAGTGTATTATAATAGAGCAGGTACACATGCTTTATAAAAAAATATTTATTCATCTAGATGGGTGATACTGAGATTTTTGCTAATTTCCCTTAGCTTCCCAATTTAATTGGATTCATCATTGGCAATAATCGACTGTTCTGCAATGAACAAGTCTCATCAACCATTACATTAATCAACAGTAAAAAAAAATTAAAATATTGGAAAGTAACAATTACCAAGTTCAGTACGAAGTTCGTCGATGATCTGACTACTGTCGATATGCTTTTCAATTTCACTTCTTGCCTCGCAAGCACTGTCGGTGTGTACGAGGTCTTTGAGTTCCTCCTCCAAGATCTCCTTCAGCTTGTCGTCGACCTCATTGTCATTGCTAACGCCGAACCTGCGCTGCATAAACAATTCTTCGCGTTGCTCTTTCATGCGTTGCTTACACCTCTGATTATAAAAAAAAGCGCATTAAATGAGTACACATTTCTGTCAATGAAGAAACTCAATAGTAGTTAGTAATAAATATGAGAGTTAGTTTTTAACTAACTTGTCTCAAGTCCTCACGCAGCTTTGTAAAGTTCGGAGGTTTCCGACCGAATTGAGCTTTTACACCTTTTTTGAACAATTCTGTTGTTGCTGATGGCATTGTTGTCGTCGTCGGAGTTGTTGACATCTTGCCGTTTAGTGCTTCCATATTACTTAATCAAGTACTAACTAAACAGTTAACTTGATGCCGGACAATGCGAAGGGAACTTCGACGTTGAGTGTTAGTAAACAATCACATACACTACCCCTACTGACCTTAAGAGCCTAACAAGTTTCAGAAATTAATAAACTTTAGGTGATTGTATCATTCACAAGCCGACCCAAAAAAAAAATTCCTGTGGAATAAGTAAGTACTAAATGCTCTAAATATTATTAGTATATTATTCACACTACATTATATGCATTCGTTTTATTTTTATATTTTACACATACTTTTATACTATTTCAGTTTACAACAATCAGCGCCAGCAGTGTCAAGAAACTCTACTCTACTATGGACAGCGCTAGCAGCGTTTTAGCAAAATTAAAATTAAAAAAAATTTTTTTTTCATAGAAAAACAGAAAATGTCTACTTATTTCTATTCCACTACAAGGCTAGCGCCGACTGTTAGTAATGAGTAGGTAGTGAGTAACTGAGTAGTCTCAGTGAGTACTTGAGTAATATGTGGTAATATTATTGTAAGTAGTAGAGAAAGAATTAAGTAGAGTAGAGCTATCATTCGTCAGATCACTAATTCACTAGTCATCAATAAGTTAGAAATTCCTGTTTACAGAAATCGGTTTTGATTTTTTTTTTTAATTGTTAGCCGCGAAATTCGAATGCCCAAAGTAAGAACAAAAGAAATAATTTCGTGAAACCCCCGAAAAACACAGGATATATTTATTGTAAATGACTTCTGAAGAATTTCACATATAATAATGTCCAAAAGTAAAAACCTTAAGAATTAAATTGTGATTACTGTTTGTTAGGTAATAAATCCGAGCATATATAAATATCTGCGAGTGCTGTACTGCTGGCTGCAGCGTTGACTGTAGGACTTGTGGAAGCACTGGAAGCGTGTCACATCCAAAGAGTTCAAAACTGACGTATAAGCAGTTTCAGTTAAACTATTTGGCAACTACTTATTTGGTTTTACTAAAATAATTAACAGTAATTTACTACTGTTGATTATCTTGTTTGTGTGCTGTAGTATAATTGTGAGTTGTCGCTGCAGAGAGCTGAAATAAACTGAAATCTCAGCCGCCGCATGGCGTGCATCTTTTTTTAACGACAAGCAGTGAATGAAAGATAGAAAGATCTGTTAGTAAATACTGGAGAGTTGTTTTACGGTTGTTATAATATTATTGATCAAGTATTGTTGAATCTTCGCAAAAATGGGGAAGAAACGTAAAGGTAGGAAAGGTTTATAACCATTGGATATGTGTGGTGTTTAATTAATATTATCCTTGATATCTTTTTTTTACCCTCTTCAATATTTACAATTTATTCATCTGAATTTCTGACAGAATTCATCCAGAGTAAAGAGGAACGCATGATGATGACGATTGGAGAAATTATCAGAGAACTATGCAATGCCCATGATGAGAGCAGAGATGTTGATCTTAACAAATTGAAGACACAAATCTCATCTAAATATGGTCTATCGTCGTCTCCCAGGCTAGTGGACATCATTGCTGCTGTTCCCATTCCTGTTAGACCAATTTTATTACCAAAACTCAAGGCAAAACCCATTAGAACTGCCAGCGGTGTAGGTATCAAACTTTCATCTACCTTGGGTTGAATCAAACGGAAATAACCGGCTTTTTTTGCTTATACAGATCGCTGTTGTTGCTGTTATGTGCAAACCACACAGGTGTCCTCACATAAATATGACGGGTAACATTTGCGTATATTGTCCTGGTGGTCCGGATTCAGATTTCGAATACTCCACGCAATCATACACAGGCTATGAACCAACGTCGATGAGAGCAATACGCGCCCGTTACGATCCTTTCTTACAAACTAGGCACAGAGTCGACCAGGTATGCATTATTTGTCTCATTCAATAAGTGATTATAACGGTTTACTACAATGATCTATTGTTTTTCCAACAGTTAAAACAATTAGGCCACAGTGTGGATAAAGTAGAATTTATTGTCATGGGAGGAACGTTTATGTCTTTGCCAGAAGATTATAGAGATTACTTTATCAGGAGTCTACATGACGCTTTATCTGGTCACATTAGCAATAACGTAGCAGAAGCTGTTAAATTTTCAGAACGAAGTAATACCAAATGCATAGGAATAACTATTGAAACCAGGCCAGATTATTGTCTGAAAAAGCATTTGTCTGATATGTTGAACTATGGGTCAGTATTCTTGTGCTTGTCTCATATTTGTGGCAGGGATTTTAAAGTTGGCTAAAAATATTAATTTTGATTTATCTCTGAATAGTTGCACGAGACTTGAAATCGGTGTGCAGTCAGTATATGAGGATGTAGCAAGGGACACCAACAGGGGTCACACAGTGAGGGCTGTTTGTGAAAGTTTTCAACTGTCAAAAGATGCTGGCTTCAAAGTTATAGCTCACATGATGCCTGATTTACCGAATGTTGGCTTTGAGAGGGATATTGAACAATTTATTGTAAGATGCCAAAGAAAAGCTAAGAAAAGTTTTTTTTTTAAATCTCAATGTAACCTTTCCTTTTTACAGGAATTTTTTGAAAATCCAGCTTTTAGAGCAGATGGTTTAAAAATTTACCCCACACTAGTCATCCGAGGTACTGGTTTGTATGAATTATGGAGAACTGGGAGGTACAAAAGTTACCCTCCAAGTGCTCTTGTAGACCTTATAGCACGGGTTTTAGCTCTTATTCCACCATGGACGCGAGTATACAGGGTACAAAGAGATATTCCTATGCCTCTAGTTAGGTAAATTTTCTTAAAAAGTGGAATGGGTGGCAGTACATTTTTATAATGACATGAAAATAAAATTTTTACAGTTCTGGAGTAGAACACGGTAATCTTCGTGAGTTGGCTCTAGAGAGAATGGAAGATCTCGGAATTACTTGTAGAGATGTAAGAACGAGAGAAGTTGGGATTCAAGAGATTCATAATAAGATTCAGCCTCATGAAGTCGAATTGATTCGTAGAGACTACTATGCTAACAATGGATGGGAAACATTCTTATCTTATGAAGACCCATTACAAGATATCTTGGTTGGCTTGTTAAGACTGAGAAAGTGTTCAAGCAATACTTTTAGGTATGATTTCAATTTAGGTTTTGTAATTGGTCATTGGTCATAATAAAATTCAATTTAATAATTTTAACAGAGCTGAATTGAAAGATAAATGCTCAATAGTACGTGAACTTCATGTGTATGGAAGTGTCGTCCCGGTAAATGCTAGAGACCCCACTAAGTTTCAACACCAAGGATTTGGTATGCTTTTGATGGAAGAAGCTGAAAGGATAGCTAGGGAGGAGCATGGGTCTAAAAAAATTGCTGTTATTTCAGGTATGAAAATTTGCGTATCCACAAATGCAATTCATCGAAAAAATTGCCTTCTTAACTAGTTAAAATTTTTTTAGGTGTAGGAACTAGAAACTATTACAGAAAAATTGGTTATGAATTGGATGGTCCTTATATGTCAAAATCTCTTTAATAATGATCGTTTTTACAAGAACGAGTAATGTCTTTCTTTTTTTTACAAAATTGCTTTTCCTGAACCAAACATAAGGTAAATTGTACCTCCTATTATTTCTACGATGAAAATATAAATAAATACAACAGCCCAGCTGTGTGTGTAATGCAAAATGAGTCCAGCTATGTAAACTCCTAAGAAACCTGCAAAAAATATCCATTTATTGAATGCCAAGATCTTGTGAGGAAAAGTACAAAATGTATGTTATTTACCGGGAATGGCACCAATCGTATTCATAAATCCAAACACGCTACCCGAATGTTTAGGCGCTAAATCTGAGGGGTTGACGACGATTGCACTATTATGAAAACCAGATCCAGCTATTATTAAAGTCAGATAAGCAATTGCTTTTTCAGGTATATCTGTTCCAGCTGATAAAATAAATTTTAAGTAATACAGTTATATTTTTAAACGTTATAAATACAAGTATGATTCGTATACCTAAAAATAACAAATTCACAGCCTGCAAGGCAAAACAGGTAGTTTGTATAATTTTTCGAGTCGCTGTGACAGAATATCCAGTCTTAAGTAGTTTTTCAGATAAAGCTCTTCCTATAAATATAGATGGTATTGAGGCTAGCCAGGGTACCATGTTAACTATCCAACCCTGAAAAATGTAATTTTTTTACTTATTGACAACTACAAGTGAAATTTTTGAAAAGTAAAAAGATACCTTGACTTCTGGAAAAGTGTCGTGAAAATACGTTGGCATCCACGAGAGTATGATGAAAAAGCAATTATTCTGGCATGCATGTCCAATCACGCAAGACCTGTAAAATGAGCAAGATAACATAAATTGTCAATGTGCACTGATGAAATAAATAATCAACAAAATTAAAAACAATCATGTGAAAAACAGGTGATTATCTAGTAATAAATCAGTGCAATAACATTCATGTACCATTATTACCAGAAAGGTGCTTTCGTAATAAGCTTTCGAACAGGTAGTTTGGTGTTTGATGATTGCCTGCTAGCTATGGGTCGACCATTTAAAAGTGTCGAATAATATATTAGCACAAACGTCCAGCCAATACTGATACAACCTGTTAATTATAATTTAGTATACAACATATAAGTACTAGAGCAGGCAGAAGATTATATTATGAATGTGGACTCTTTAATGCAAATAGAATTACCTAATACTCTAAAAACAGTATCCCACTGATAATTATCTAAAATATACGATCCTAGAACTCCTGTTAAAAGTGTTCCTAATGCCGAACCAGAAGTTACTAAACTAAAGAAAGATGCCCTCTCAGGCTCACTCAGTCTCTGGCTAGTCAAGCTTATCATACTAGGAAAATGCATTCCTACAAAACAACATCGAGTAGATTTAGTAGTTCAAAAAAGACAAGAATTAAAAATTTAAAAAAATCAAGGCTTTGTGTGCTCACCTTGAAATGCTCCGTTTATCACTCTGGTAAAAGTTACCATGCCATTGCCATTGAAATACCTTATGACATCAGGTAGGAAAAACGTAGAGGCTGCCCAGCCTATTGCAGCTATGCACATGATTCTCTGGCCTCCAATTCGATCGCTGACATAGCCACTTAATACTTGGGTAGTTGTGTAGCCCCAAAAAAAACTCGACAGTATGGTGCCAGAGTCTGTTTTGGTCCATTTTTTTTCCTTGCCAATCGTTGGCACTAGAAGAGGAACTGATGTTCTGGATGCATAAACAAGGCAGGTGCCAATCAACAATATGACGCCCCATTTGAATCGTTCTCTTCTGCAAAAATGTTTTTAATTTAGGGAAAAGCCGAATTGAAAATAATAGGCGAACAAAACACCACAGGTGTGACGTATTGAAAAAATGAATGTATGAACGTATGATACATGAGTTGCAACATGTTGCAGTAAGAACTCATGCATACCTATGTGACATGTGTTGATGGTTTGATCAAATTCACGAAACAAAAGGTGGTTTGGATTTAATTAATGTAAATATATGTGAGTGTGCTCACCTCGTCCAGTGCAAGTTGTTGATAAAATCATGAGCCTGCATTACATTCGTGAAACGGATGGCTTCCCAAATTCATTCACTGTTATTAAGTATTACATGAATTAAATAGCTTGTGGCTCTTATCAATTTTCTGTTTTCAGCTCCAAATTCTACCTGACGTCGTACATATGTAGGGGAACGTGGGGCGGAGGTGGGCATAGCCGATAAAATGGGCTTGCAAATATTTAAAAATAAAAACATATTTTTAGCTGAATCCTCTTTAATATACATATACAACATCAATAGTTTCTCCATCCAAACAAATTTACTTTTTTTTTACTACGAGCTGATTTAATTCTTAGTCGACGATAACCTACTAAAAAAAAATTTTTAATCACTTGGCAAATTTATTATATATGACCTACATAATTATCCATGATATTATTCGAAAGCTTAGATCTTTAACTTTGACAGGCTATTTTTTTTATTTTTTTTTTTACTTGTAATAAAAGAGTTATTAATAAATAAAAAATATGTGTTGCGAGGGTGGGAATGGGCACCAAGGTGGGGCGCAAATGGGCCCGAGCAAGAAAACCGTTCCGCATCGAGCGTCTGCTATTTGTAGGTATAGGTATACCAGTTGTATGTGGTTAGCTGTCAGCTGTCATACTTTATAGCTTAGGCTATTTATTTTTATTTTTGTTGATTTTTTATGTAGTTTTTCAAATAGTTTATAAAGTAAGAGTGATGGTTCGAAACTATTGTTCAAAGAGCACAAAGTGTTCTTGGACTGATGGTGATGTGGAAATTGCCATTAAACACATCAACCATGGAATATAGTGTGCTTAACTCAAATATTTGCATCGAGGAAAATTGCATCTCGATTGAAAATATACCAATTATTTTTCAAAACGATATCTAATTCTTTATTTTAATTATTTTTCAAAATATATTACTTTTGAGTGTTGTATTAGCATGAATCAATCCAAAGAAATGTGATAATATTGTGATTAAAATGTAATTTAAAATTACAAGAGATTAATACTTAAAAATTGTGTATATTATATTATTTGTTACAATGTTTTTAATACGAATACTGTAAGTACTGAAAAATAAACTTAGATTTAAGATCAGTTTCAAAAACCTACACACTTTCATACTGGGTGCATTATTTATCCGTGCCCATCCGCGCCCCACCCCCTGCTCACCCGTACCCTATGGTGAGGCATGAGTGAGCAGTTTTGGATGTTCTCGTTCTTCAGCATAAAAAAAATATATATATATAGATTAAAGTTTAGCAAAGTATGGCACGGTAAAGTAAAGGTTCTTACCGTGTCAATAACGCTTGGACAATAATAAAATACTCAAAATTGTTGTCACAGTGAAATACTGAAAAAAAGGTGCCCACCTCCGCCCCACGTTCCTATATAGTTGACTCACCTATGAGCTGAGGGAGCTAGGGGGTGAGGTAAAAAAGCAAAGCTTATTTAAGTACCTACTTGTCAAAAAGATGTTTGATTTGATTTGTTGTACTTATTTCATTGGTAATCGGCAAGCGCAGCAGCAACATACCATAAAGATAACAATAGATAAGCAGATGTTTTTGATAGCTCATTCAAATATCTTGATAACTGTTACAATCTTGGTCAAGTTTATATAAATTATTACACGTAAGCTATGGGTGATAATTGTAATATTTTATATCGGATTTTTCTCATGTTTTTTCGTGACGAAAGGCAGTACATATATAAAGGGCACACGCCGCGCTGGACAATTTTTTGTACGTACTTATCATTATCACGTTTGTGTGTTAATCATAAAACTTTATCACCATATCATAGTTGTGCGTATTTTTCGTTAAATTTTTTTTTAATTATATCAGTTTTACAACTAAAGCTATGTGTTTAACGTTCAAAACTGTTTTAAAAAAATTTATATATACACAAAAATGCGCCATTTGTACTTACAGTCGGTAAGAAAAAATGGTCAGTTATTGGCGACCAGTTGGTAAGGTAGAGCCTCAATTTTTTCGGATTGTTCCTAAATGCGTTCATTGATTGTGATTGGCTCGTGCGATTAATTCGGATAATTAGCATTGGTTCATCAGTGGAACCGATTTTTCGAAATTTTTGATAAAAAAAAGCAGGTAAGTTGGTATAATAATGGTAAAATGTAGTAATTCTTGAGTAATGCGCGCATGTTAAGATTCTTCGGGAATATTATATCGCAATGTTTCGAAAACAAATTGTTGGCCTTAGGAAGCTAAATTAGCTTATCTTAACATATTGGTGGACACCGCATGTGGTACACCTACACACGACTCTTGTGATATATACATCTATATCTCTAACTCTCTCTTCTAGCTCTCTCTTTCTCTCGTTTCTCTCCTCCTCCCGTCCTCCGTCCTCCGACCTAAACTTATTTACCTATGCTTGTTTAAAGACACCGGATATTTTCGTTAAATACGCTTTTTCTCGTAGCTGCGTCAGCACCTTGCCTTGGAGAAGACAAACAACGTCGTCGTGGCGTGCATACCTTGTGTGTGTACTTACCAACGGGCTGGATCCTTTCGTTGATCCTGCCGACCCTGCATATTTATCATCTACAGAATCAGAAAATCTACATTCTACACTTCAGGTGCAGATTTCTGAGCGAAAATAACCCTTCTTCTAGACTAAACATCGCTATTAGCCGAGAAAGTAAAACTACATGTAAGTGTAAAATATGCATATTTTCATAATAGCCTAGTTATGTTTTAAAACTTTTGAATTCTATATATGCATATATACAAAAGTTACTAGACACTATATATGTTGTTCTTGATTACAGCAGCCACAGAGCCATCAGCACGCCAGCAGCAGAAAGCAGCATTAGCTTATCAGCTAGCAGCGTCATCGTATATACAATAGTTAATATACATTATCAATACATCGTGTCAGCAGTAGACACCACTGCGACTGTGAATCGCAGTTGATGAGGATTTTTTTTTTTTTTTTCCTGAGGAAGTGAGGAGGTACCATGCCGTCATTACAGTGATAGGTACCTATGCGCGGCTGAAAGTGTAGGTGGTGGTGTAGAGAAAAGAGATTAATTGTACACCTTTTTGGCACAGCAGACCAGCGTTAGGCGGTAGCTCTTGACCGTGTGTTTTTAGTACGTCTTGTGCGTGTGCGCGGCGTGCGCGTATAAAAAAGCCTATTATAAAGTTCTGGTGTCTCCTAGAGGAGCTTAGCGTTTAGCACCTACGAGGACCAGGTACGTCTTGACGTTCCGTGCTTGCCGGCGTGGACGTACAACACACTACGTAGATGCTTACGCCGTATGCAGATCAAGTAGAAGGTAAAGCTGTCATTAAACCATAGAATCGAGAAGAGGTACCTTAATATTTTCAAAGGCTTTAATTGTTGGGATCGAGATAGATGATCTACACTGTAGTCTCAACCATTATCGGAGCAACAACACACGACGAAGAAAGAGAGAGAGAAATAGTTGGCAATTGCCGTCTGCGGCTGTGTGTCTTGTGTACCTACTTGTGAGGTAAAACACACAGAGTCCTGTCCTTTACTATGCGCATTGATTCCACGCCGTGCGTGTGTTGGTAATAGTGCTGCGCGCTCTTTTCCCTAGCTCGCGCTCCGAGGAGAAGACGTTTCTGCATCTAGAGTAGCTCAGTTGCGCCACCTCCTTGTTACACACCATACGTGTACGAACTCTGACGCCAAACCAAAGAGGAAGAGTAGTACAGTATAAGTAGAGATCAAGAGTAGCTGGTGGATCAAGAGTGGCTAGCGGTGGGTGCATTTGTAGTACTAGAGTACTATTACAAAATGAGGATGAGGAGATAAGGTGTGCGTCCGCGCGTGCAAAGTTATAGGTACGCTAGTAGAAGAAAAAAAAAAAAAAAAAACATAAAACCGACGAGGAGAGAAGGTACCTGTACGAGAGGATATAATAAGTAACAATAACGACGACGACGTCGAGCAATAGCAGCAAGACGTTGCTGCTGACACAAGCGAGGATCGCTTGCCGCTTAACGATCGGGCGACTCTCTTCCATCATAAGTTGTATCAATGTTGTCTGGCAATGGTGTGTAAGGAGAACGTGGTATCATGGTTTGGAAATCTGTCCAGGTAAGAGTACAACCGACTCTCGGTGTATATAATTTACTCGCATTATAGCTATTCGGGGATCATGTCACTTTCTCGCATAGTGTCATAATTATTGTTCTTTCCTCACTCTCCTTTTTCTCCCACGTCTTTTTTTTTGTTTCGCGAATACGTTTCTGTCTATATAGTAGGCGCACGAGAGGGCAGCGAAAAAGAGCAAGAGGAAAAAAAAAAATACGTCACTGCTAAAGCGAAAAGAACGGGTGCATGGGAGTAGGTAAATGCGTGTGGGACGTTTTTTTGTTTGTGCCAGGCGTCTCGCATTCATGTAATAATGTACGATCACAATCGTGTAAGAGTTCAGACTCCAAAGAGCACTGACAAATGTGTATAACATACACCTACGACGTTTTTATTTGAGCTGTATGCTTTGGATTAAAATAAATGTATTTTTTTTTTTCCATTTTGTAATAGGATTAAAACGAAGCGAACGAGCCTCTGTGTTTATATAGAGAAGCGGCGCAACGTTTTTGGAGCGCGCGCGAGAGGACACCTTTTTTTTCTATCTCGATATCCACTTCTCTCTTTCTTACTCTCTTTCTCTTTCACGGACTTCGGTTCTTTATATACCTATTATTGCGCTACGCGGGCGTATAATACTTGCATATATACGTTTTATACGTTTGTCTCTGTCTATGATGGCTTATGAGCTCTTGTGCACTTTGGTCATAATTTTTTTTTTTTTTTTTTTTTTTCATTTTAATGATATAGTTTAATGTATTTAGATTACTTATTTTTGGTGAAGAAAATTTTACTTTGATTAGTTGCGTCCTTTTATATATTTAATACTAATAATTTTGTCAATGATCCACACGAGTATAGTATAGTTAACTCACTAATTGAATCTAAATTGTTGAACGCGTATTTGAGACGTGAAAGTATATCACAAGCTATATTTCGATATCAGTGATTCAGACGAAAGGTATTTAGAGTTGCTGTGAATTGAAAGACTATGATAATGAAGTTAGCACAACATATTCAACACAGTAGTCTGTTGTCCCACAATGTAGCTTTTGTACTACTTGTTGTTCAATCATAAACTTATGTCTAGTCCAGCAACTTGAACGCTTTTTTTTAATTGCTCGTAATGTTAATTACTTTGCGTTATCATAAATTTAATTTAATTTAATCCAATTTTATTTGTGTACTGGATATTTGTTGGTCAAATGTATGATTTTTTGTTCTCTAGTAGATGACGAAATCAAACATCACAGTTATTTCATTCAATTTTCTGTCTACGTCATAATGTGACGGTCGCTTCGTATTATTACTAGTCAAAATGTTTTAAAATTTGAAAAAAGGGTGCACATTCACAGGAAGATTAATGTGTATCTATTGTCTTTTTGTATATTCACCATGAGCACAGAAAGACAAAGCAGCTCGACCAGTCTTACATGAGAGATATTCTGTCGAATTTCATCAGTCACCTTTTGTTGCTATCTCACGGTCCCACTTTGTCACGTAAATCGTACAATTTTTTTGGGATTTAAATGTAATTTCTCCCGTCAATCCATAGTACTTTGATACTGATGCCAATGATTATAATACATACCTTTTGAACTTTTCGTAAAAACAATATCGTTTTAATCCTGACAGGTATCAGGAAAAAAGTGCCGATATAACACTCATTTATCTTCCGAAATACCTGCATATACATCCCATAGAAGTATAAGTTTCGTGTGAAAAAAAAAAAAAAAAAAAATTAAAAGTAAAGGATTTGGTATTTGTTTGACTTTCGTTGCAGTTATAAGCGCATAGATGTGATGTGCACGCTGTTAAACATGTGCCTGCCGTTCGAGGTAAGGTACTTGGGCGCCTGCGTCGAGGACCTCGGTAAGCGGGACTGCAACGTCCTGCGCGACACCGAGCACCGGGCGAACAGTGTCAACGACCTGGCTGAGCTCAAGCACAACCCCATAACGACAGACAAGCGCACGAGGCGCAAGCTGGCCCTCTACATGGCCCTCCTGCACTCGTGCAACTACTCTTGTGCTGTTATTATCTACGAGAACCTTTCCAGCTTTGACTCCCAGGAGATGAGTGGCCTATTGAGCGGTGGTGGCCTCTCGCCCGGCGAGCAGCCGCTCGAGGAGCTCCTTCTGCTCTACACGATGGCCCTCAATCATCCGGCCTTCAACTACGAGCAGAAGAGCACCCTGGCCAATATATTTCTCAAGCTGCAGGAAGAGGAAGCCCGCCTGAGCTCTCCCAAGACCGTCACTTCCGGATCCATGCCCTTCAAGTCAGCCACACAGGTATACCTTGTCGTATGAATTGCTGCTAATTTGATTGTATCTTGGCTACATCTGTTTGCCTTGAGAATCCTTGTTTTATAAGTACATGTATTTACATCATACGCAATATTGCAATATCATTTAATATGATTGCAGAGCTGTATACCTTGTGTAAACCAAAACGATAGGATAGACTCGGAAATTTCGACAAATTGCGTGGTAGCTCCGCCACCGATGCAAAGCTTTCAAGGTAAATTGCGCCTCTCTGTGTGTACATCTTACCCACATACCTCACTATTATATACCTATAACATTGTTTTTGCCGTCAAACAGATTACATATCTCAATGACTGTTTGCTAGATCTCATCGTTACGTTAAAATAAATGTTACATAACTTACTATATAATACCTATACACATACTGTGCACAAGCACGAGCAGTCTCAGGATCTGTTGTTCACAATGCTTTTTGCTTCTTAGGGGAAATGCCAAACATACGAGGTAACGCCATGATCGCTACCGGTATGCCGCCTACATTGGGGATACCACCGTCAGGCCTCTGCATTCCGAGTCCCGAACAAATGGCGATGCACGGCACTGGCCATCCCCAGTACGTGCACGTCGGTTTTCCCGCGGTCAACCACATGCCACCCTGGCCAGGTCAGGTTATGACGATGGGCCACAATCAGTTCATGTACCATCAGGGTGATGTCCTACCTTACACCTCGTCTAACTCTCCCTTAGTCAGCCGACAGTCCTCGCCTTCCCCGTCTCAGTCGCACAGTAGGAGTAACTCGCCGACCGCTGGTCTAATGCAGCGCAAAAACAACAACAACAACAACAACAACAACAATAGCAACATTAACAACAACAGCAACAGTGGACCTCAGCATCAACAGCAGCAGCAGCAGCAGCAGCAGCAACAGTTGCCGCGCACTTCCTGCCAGGTGACGCCGTCGACCTCGAATACGTTGACAACGTCTACCTTGACATCGAGCAGTCAGACAAACATTACGAGCGCCACAGTACTGGTTAGAATGATCATCACTCTTAAATAATTCGCTGTTGTAAAACCGGTGACATAAAAAATTTCCTCAAATTAAACGTAAAAGTACTTTTTTTGTTCATTGCCAGTACTACTGTACGCTTTACTTCTGAGGCTGTTTAATTGGTTTACTCCGTTTCATATGATTATATTTTTTATACCTTGATGTTTATCTCTTTTTCTATGAATGAGCAGCCGGGTACCGCAATGCCTCAGTCTCCACTGCCGCCGCTCAACACAAGTAGGAATATTCCAGCACAGACTCAGCCGCCGCAGCAACAACAACAACAACAACAACAACAACAACAACAACAACAGCAACAATTACCATCGTTGCGGCCGCTTGCCCCAATAAGCAATATTTATACGAGGCACAGCAACAACGACGTGTCAACAACGACGACGTCGTCAAAACAGTATCAACAACAACAGCAGCCGCCACCTCCACGGTTGAAGCCATCGTTGTCTGGAGAAACTCTGCGTGAAACTGGCAATAAGGATATGCCCAATTTTAAGGGCAACTTCCAAAATTATTCTAACAACGAGGTTGGTCATCATTTATTTACAATTGTTTTTTTTTTCACTTATCATCGGGAAATACGTTTTAAATATTTCTATTCAATGCATTTCCAACGTTTTTCCAACAACAGATTAGGAGACTGAGTGATGAAGACATATCAAAAATCGATGTGACATCAAACGTACTGAATAATGTGAAGACACAAGCAGCAAACGGCTTAAATCAAACTCCAGAGAAAAAGATTGATAGCCCTAATAGTATGCACTTGTCTAATGAAACCGTTGAAAGCGATGTGAGTATAAAAATGAGTAATGACAATCATTTATGTTGCGTCAAACCAAATTTCAATAACATTTTTTCCTAATTTTAAAGAGCTTATCAATGGAAAATATTCCAAATGAAAATTCCAAGCCCGTGACGATAGCGGACCAAGGAATGATGAATTATCACCATCAGAATCACAATGCGATGACGAACATAAGACGATATCCACCTCCGCTGGATCAACCCACGCACATACAAATGATTCCCGCGCCGCCCTCCATGTATCACGCCCCCAACGCATGTTACAGCTGCCTTACTACAGTTCCAATGGCTGGGATTCAGAATCGTTTTTCTAGGTAATTATTGACCTTCTTGGAAAGACATAACTAATCGTCAAAGACACTGGTCTAATATTAAGAAAATCCAATTTGATATATTTAATTTTGTGTGTTGATTCAATTATTCGGTAGTTTGATATTTGTATGTGGTTTGATTTCAACAATAGGTGTAACGGTCCACCACTCTACTGCGTGACGCAGCTTCAGTCTCTTAGACTAGAACCAGAAAACAATAGACACTCGCACAGCAGTAGTTCAGACAGTTCGGGCAGTCGATCCCCTCCAGAGACACCGCCAGCAGCGCCTTGGCTCGGAAACGATAACGTGCCTCCAGTATCGAACGAGCAACTGCAGCAGCAGCAGCAGCAACAACAACAACAGCAGCAACAGCAGCATATGGGTGGTGGTCCACCGTCCCTCCATTCCATCCCATCGTCACACTCAGGACCACACCTACATCAGCAGCAGCAGCAGCAGCAGCAGCAACAACAACAACAACAACAACAATTAAACCAGCATCATGATAGGCCACGAGCGCGTAAGAATCACACACACATGATGCGGCACAAAAGTGGCGGTCACTCAACGGCTGGCATGGTGAACGGAGGTGGCCCACCTCCTACTAGTTTGCAGAGTTTGCAGCCGTGCATGACATTCCTGGCACCGCCGGGTCACGCGCAAATGACCGCCTACCTGCCCCATCACTTCCCAACCCTGCGGCCCACCACCGGTATTTATTCAAATTTCACGCACGCTTACGCCACGGCCAGACCTGCGCCCGGTGGCTATCCAACTCTAGCCTATCAACCCAATGGCGAGATGATGTATCAATACGCTGGTCACCACCCGCCTCCTCCACTACCAGGGAGCAGTAATTCTGGCGCCGTAGCCGCCACCGGTACCCCGCCCCCGCCTCCTGCAGTGGTCTCGGTAGTTCAGAACGCGCAAAATCAGGTCCCGCCCCAGCCACAGCAGCAGAGTTACGTGACAGCTTCGCCAGTGGTATCGTACGCCCCGGTAAACGCGGTGCAGCCCCCGCCACCTGTGCATCAGCCACCGCCTCCGGTCAAGGTGTCCTGTTACAACTGCGGCAGTAACAGTCACTTGGCAATCGACTGCAAGGAACAGACTATGGAGGATCTCACGAGGAGAGGTACGTCTTCGTTATTTTGAGCGATGAGTGGCAAACCTTCATTAAGCTTGTCTTTTCGAACGAATGATGTTGTGGCTTACACATTTGGCACAAAGCTTATGTGCTGAAATTCCTAAGGATAGTGCTGTTAATTTACAACGGTATCAATTATAGTCCAAAGTATAGTCTGCGTTGATACATTAAATAGTTTGTCCATTTAGGAATCATGAAAGTATGAGTTCTATAAAGAGAAAAAAGTACGTTTGCACAAAAAGCAAAAATTATGCGCCCACACAATTCGGAGGTTTTGCAACGCTGTTGTTATGAGTCATTTATACCTATCCATTTACATACATGTAAATATGTACATTTGTCTCGTGGTAATAGTTATCATCAATTTAAAATCAGAATTCCAATCATAATATTATTCCAAACGTACTGTCTGCAAAATTGCCAACATTACTATCGTGTTTTTAAATTTTGTCAATCCGACTTCATCGGTGTGAATGGTAACGTTTACTTTTCTTTTGCAAAATTTTTAAGTATAAACGTATCAGATTCAAATTAACTTAACAAAAAAATTTCATCTCAAACTTGGGAGAAAGATTACAATCAAACAAGCCATTCCCGTGCATGTCCCAATAGATCTGTAAAGCTACACCTGATTAACGTTTCGTGCGGTAATGGTTGTATTGGTTAATCCTCAGTACTTCTAGAATCTCCAAAAAACTACCTTGTCCAGTACCCCCATTCCGGTGTAGCTTTGTAAATACTGTGTACCCGAGCATCGGCTCGCCCGTCTATTTTGCAGGCCAGTTCCGGCTTGACTACACGACGGTGAAAAGCTCGGGTGGCGAGCAGAGCCAGAACATCTCCGACAAGTGATCCCCTGCTACGTGCCGATTGGACAAAGTCGCAGCCACCGTAGCATCAGCACCAATATCCGATGACAGGTGGTCGTCTGTACGAGCTAACACTTGCAGAAAGGGTATTACTGCTGCAGCCACCGATGTAGCAGCAGCAGCAGCAGATGCGCATCATCTCATGTCTATTCGTATAGCTGTCATTATCATCATTATCATCAACATCATCATCATCGTCGTCATTGTTCGCTTTCTCCGGTATTTTAAATGCGAGCAAAGCTCACGTCAAAGTACGCATAGCCATTACTACTCGTTGCTTTGTCATTATTGTTATTATTATTTTTTTTTTTTCAGGCAAGTATACCCTCCCTGTATTACACAGTACACGTGCATCGCCTTTAACTTTTTTTACCGACGTAAGACTCGAGGAGAGATAAGAAACCTAATTTTCCGTTGACTTTCCTTTTTATTGACTACTTTATTCTGTGAATCCCCCCCCTCCCCTCAGTACAAAGTACTCTTTTATGAATGTATAATTTTTACAAGTTCTTATTCATAATTATCATCATTGCCATTGTTAATTCAATGTTATTGCTTTTGACACGCGTGACAAGCGTTTGACACGCCCGTAAAGAAAAGGAAAAAAAAAAACATTAAGTTTCTGGCTTTTTCCTTCCAACACCAAACATCCTTACTTTCATAGTTTGGTGATATAATTTTACTGATGAAATTTTTTTTGGAAAGTAGGAGTTGAAAATTATAGAAAAGCAGATACCGTACGTTCATGTACGATAGGTGCAAGCAAATTTTGCATTTTAAAAAAAAAAAAGACGTGTCTCAAATTTCGGTTGTGTGTGCGTGACTGATGCATACGTACATTATATTTAATGTTGTTGTTGAACGTGTGGTTGACTTTAGATATTTTTTTATTACTATTATTGCTTTTCAACCGAATTATTATTTAGTTTAATAAAGTATGCGCGTATTATTTGTGTATAGATGAAATTTTTTAAAGCTTTGAGCGCGAAGTAACATGAAAAAAAAATATATATATATGCATATGTATACACAAATATATATTTAGGCCTGGTGAGCCTCGGTGTTTTTTTTTTTTTTTTTTTTTTTTTTTTTTTTCTTTTTTTTTTTTTTTTTT